GCATGGGATCCATTTCTCACGGGTAGTTTGACGAATCCTTTTAACTGTTCCGCTCTGCGGTTCACGAGATGTCTCACTAACACGACGTGAGTGATGGTCGCACAAACAAGACGCAGATACGGTAGAATGCAAACCAAAGCACAGCAGTACCGATCAGTACTTACCGCGAATCGGCCACTATGTCTTGTCTTGCACGCAGTGGTCAAATTCCACTGATCGCGAAATCAATGAGACACCGGCTGGGATACCATATAATTATGAAAGCCAGATGAAAAGAAAGTGGGAACTTGAACACTGCTATTTACTTGCAACTAGCACTGCAAGCGTTCCTTTCTCTTCAGGTGCTATGTTTGTGGAGTCTTTCCAATGGCACCGGCGTTTGCTGCTCTGGCAACGTCGTCTGCTGCCGTCGACAGACTCGCAGGTTGGATCCAGCCGGATCAACGCTGCATCCCGCTTGCATCACGCCTTGCCGCTCACTATTTTGCCGAAATGTAAACAGCGTGGGCTCGTCGAATGGATCTGCTAAACTATCGACTTCGCTGCACCGTCCATTACGCTGTGCTAGCTGTGTACCACGCGAACATGCCGCTTATAGCCCCGTTACTTCTAGCGCAATGCGGAAAACATGTAGAAGGACACATCAAAAGAACAAGCAGCTTCTCTGTCCTTTACCACGTCTCCACCACTGCGACAAACGAACTTGTTCAGCACCCTTAAGCACCTGCTCACTTAAGAACAAGTTCTAGGCGCTGCCATGCTGTTTGGCATAATGCGGAGGCGCTCACAATCTTGCTAAACGCAAAACAACACTAAATACCCCGTTTTTAGTTAGTTTTGCTTTCAAGAAATGGCGCTACATTATACTCACTTCTGCCATTTCAGCCAATGTTGTGTTTGAATTTTGATACATGGAGCCTAGGGGGAGTTTCCTAACTTGTATGGTTGAATAACTCTGTTTCATGCATGATTCTTCAACGTCGTCAGCCGCTGCATAAAAAAATTTGCGCCAAATTTCTAGCAAATGTGTAGCGGATACAGTGATTCTGTATCGCCAACAGGTGTCTCACGTTTTCAACGGTTGGCCTTATATTTATTGAAGAGCCCCTGAATCATCCACAGGCGTAAATATAGTGTTGACACGGCCGTTGTGTACGAGTGCGCAGCGAAAGCGGGCACGTGGCGCATTTTCAGTAGGTTTCAACATGACAATGCCAGCATTTACCATCATATATAACAACATTGCGATAGAACCGGCCTAGAAGGAACTCGCAATAAATGGGATTTAGGCAAATTTTATTGCAAAATTAAAACTTTTGGAGTATTTAGTAGGTTTCAAGAAACTTTTTACAATAAATGAAAGAATGTAGCTTAACGGAAGCACGTGCTCTTTTATTACCTTTCAGCGGTTTTAGCTGGAAAGTGGGTTATGAAGATGAGTGAGTTATACGTGAAAAAAAAACGGAATCGAATTAAGAGCCGTCTAAACACCTTCATACGTCGCTATGCATCCTCCTCGGGCACCAAAAATTTTTGGTATACCTTAGTCCTAATGTCGGCCGTGTTTGTAGAAGTCGTACTCGTTTTGGTTCTTTGAAAGCCGTTCAATGCGGTGACGTCGGAATTACTTGGGCACACTCGACAGTGTTTGGTATTGATGTTTCGTGGCGAAAAAGCATGTTCTTTCGTTTTCTCAATAGCCATCATCTACGCAAAAGTGGTGAAGAGTTCAACAGTCGTGGAGAAGAAAACCGTGACCACGCGAGAAGGGCAAACCAGTGGTACGATAATAACTAGGAGCGCACTTATGTTCCCCTGGTGTATGTTTGTTACAAGACTGCCACTCTAGCGTCGCCAGCGCGAAGTCGGCGACGGGAATGACAGCAGGTTGGTTCGTTCCGTACGCAAGCAGAGACAGTGAAGAGACCAGAGACGTGAGAAAACAAAACAACTTTACTCTAGTGATATTGCAGCACACGGGATCTAATACAACACTCCAATACAACTAACAAAATACATCGACACTTGATACAACTAAAGAAATATATAACAGAAACAATAAATCGGCTTACGAGAGAGAACTATTACAAGCTACACATACTAACAACAATAGAACTACGGAGTAGAAAGTTCGAAGATATAAACAGGTGAAGGCATACGTGTGATGACCGGCAGTGTTGTGTCCCCGATGATCGGATGCGAGAAGTCGAAGAGAGTTCTGGCACGACTGCGATGTCGGCGGTGTTGCAACGCTGTTGGCTCCGGGAGGCTAGTGCTTGCAGGTGACTTCGAGCAGGTTGAGCTAACTCGAAGCGAAGTCCCGATGTCTACGTTGCAGACGTTAATATCGCGTCACAACTAGACGAACGGCTAAGTTTAGGTGGCCAGCCGATACAGAGCCACACTAAAAACTTCTAGAAGAGATGCTTGTTGATCTGTTTCTACACCATGTTGGTCAGCGACTAGTCTGCCTAGCAGGGCAAAATCCTGCGCTTAAATCCCTCTCATGTCTCCTCGCTCTCTTCCTTGGGGACAAGAGACCTCCACCTGGGTCCAGTCATGCGCGTTTAATTGATGGGAAACTCCACCCCAAAAATATTTCGACCCCACCCCTTTTTAATTGGGAGAGGGCCCGCAACTAGCGAGAGTGACAACCTGTCGGGTTGTTGTCATACGGCTTGGCCACCAGAGCGTTTCCCACGCTTTTCTCCGCGGGAACGGTCAACCACTTAGCTCTCAGCGGGTGCGTCTTGTAGTCTAATCCTTGTTCGGGGTATACCGCGGCCTTCTACGACCTTGCAGACGTCGCCACAGTTACAAAAGGATTAACTGTCGGCGGCGACGTTCTAAGGAGAGCACCCCATTTTGCACTTATCGGTTTCCTTTCATGTGCCGCCGTTTCTCACGGTCAGTCGGGGAGTACGGCGCCCGTTAATTGCCGTGACGCGGTGTCACCGAAAATAGCCGTCCGTGACAATGTTACACGTTCAGCGCGCCACCTTCCTGGTCACACCAACACTCTTCAAAGTGCAAAAATGTAAGTTCCTTCTTGAGGAAAGAAATGAACGGTTGTCTATCGGTTTTGTTGAGCCTAATGTTCCATTGAAGGACGTGTTGCGGATGTTTTTCCCAATTTAGATGCCCATTTTCTTACTTACTCACGTTAAGGCATTTCCGCTGCCAAAGACGATTGTTTGAAAGTAAAAAAAAATAGCTCGATTTACCCGTGTTTCATATAGTCTGACTGAACTTTATGACGGTGTTGGTTTATTCATTACTAAGACGTATTCAAAATCAGAGAGTTGTAAAATTCGAAATGTAATTCACCATGCTGGCAAAGAAAAAGACAATCTGATTCGATAGCAAATGCACAGTGTCCTAAACCGAGCGCACGCACCCAAAAACAGGTACTGGAATATGTCTGCACATATTTATTGTCTTGATTATGCCTCGCTTTATCAATGGACTTGCGCGGACTTACAAATGTTCGTAGCACTCGCGTGGCGAATTTGTACTAAATGTGGTGACACGTATTATAAAGAGGATATTAAGAAGAGCACAATGTGCCATGCACTACTGGGGAAATTGAAACACCCCGAAATTTCTCTGTGATCATTTTCCACACTTTGAGTCATTTATGACTTGGCCCATCTGAAAACTCTGCTAAACTAACAGGGTCAGTAAGGCAACCTTGGTGAATATACTGCCGGCCTGCGCCTGGGCCACGCAGGAGGAGTTCAGACTATTTTTCTCTCTGACTTCCCAGGCTTTCTTATCGCTCAAAGCTGATTCCTGAGATATACGCAATTCATAGCGCCTGCTTACCGTGTCTCTACTTTATCCGGGTAGTATGCCATCTTCGCAACTAGTGATTCATTGTCAACTTAGCGTAATTAGAGAAATGACAACACAAAATATGGCACACTGATATAGGACTTTTTTCTTGTTGTTTCCTAGTGGTGCTCAGTTCACAATTCTTCACTAGAATGCCCCGACTCTGAGTCACAAGTTTCTAAAGCAGAATACTCAACAAGTATACAGGGTGTTCCACGTAACTTTAGCCAGAGTTTCAAATTATGCTGGCACACGTTATTACGACGCGACCAAATGCATGTTGCTTACCGTTGTTGCCTGGAGGTAGGCTATGTTGTGCTCTCAAATATTGTTTAATTAGATCTGTTTATTAACTAACTTTTTAAGGAACGAAGATGAATAAAAGATTTCAATGAGAAAGTTATGGATCGTTTTGCAAAATGTTCGAACTGATTGCTTTGACTTTCATATCTGTTAAGTACTTGGGTTTTTCTGCTAATTACAAATGCCCACGAAATACAAAAAATACCACGTGACAAACCCACTCGTTCGCTAGTGCGCACAATGATTCTACTGCTCCCTAAAGTTCCGCGTACGAAAGACCATAGCATAGGCCCCATGTCTTGTCTCGCTGGGCCACAGCGATCGTGGTGGCTTTACGATGAACACGTTTTGCTATCGGCCACAAGAACGATAACCGCTGTGACTGCTTATCACTGTCATGAACTGGTGTGAGGAAAGGGTGTGGTTTTAATTTTGTGGCCATTTGTCAATAGATAAAAAAACATAACACTTAACAGATACACAGTTCAAAACTATCTATTCGCACGTTTCGCAAACCGATTTACAACTTTACCACTCAAATTTTTTATGTATCTTCATTTCTTGAAAAGTTAGTTCATGAAACAGATTTAAATGAAGAATATTTGAGACCACAAAACATAGTCTGACTAACTCCAGACAATAGCGAGCAGCACGCATTTGGCTGCGTCGTGATTGCGGGGGCCGGCATAGTTTTAAACTCTGGCTAAAACTACCTGGGACAACCCCGCATAGGCCTGCAAACATGAATGCCGTAGTCTTACAAGTACGGATGAGACCTGCGGTCTAATCACTCGATCCAATGGCTTGTGCATAAACGTATGATACTAACCACATTGATTACTATTTATTAGCATTATATAGACAGCAAGTTTTCCTCTAGTAAAAGAACGTGCACTTGTTGGGTGGATTCATAGGTGAACCCACTGGACAATGGTATGCTGCAGCAAACTGAGGAGAATTCTTGACAGGAACGTTGCACTCGTCAGCCATAGTCTGCGGCCGATGGGCGCAGAGAGCGTAGCAGTAAGCGATAAAAAAAATTTGGTCGTCCGAGTAAGGTTCCAGGTGAATCACCCTGTAGTCAAGCAGGTCTAAGTAACCGCCTCCTACCGCAGCTTCATAGCTTACGTATGCGAGCTCAATACCTGGGATAAATGGAAACACGCTCAGAGGTCGCCAAGAGCTAGCGTTCGCGCTTGCGCGCACATCGCATCTCGACTTCTTTTCGTGAGCGGACGCTGACGCTGGTGTAAGCCAGAGACCACGTTGGCCTTCTTCGTTCACTCTTACACCGATTTCGTCGAATGACTTCACCATCCCACGCGCTGCAAATGACGCCATCCCACCATACCTCATCGCCAGAGTAGCGTTTTTATAAAACAATGGCGGATTCAGCACGCCGATGGCCAGTGTGAGCGCATTAGCCAAGTACAAGTAGAGCTCGAGTCCGAACTGCGGAAAGAGGTGAACGCTGTACACGTCTCCAAAGTGTTCGTCTCTGCGGAGTTTCCGGTATATCTCTGTCGTCTCTACGAGGTTTGTGACGAATGTTTTGCCGGTCATCTCGGGAAACAAGCCGTAGAGTTTGTCGCGTGTCTTTCTGTCGAAGAAGATTTCAGCGGGCAAAATAACGCGGGTCATATTCTCCAGTTTTCGGAAGGCCAACATTTTGCTCGGTCCATCCATCCAGGTCAGATTGTTGAGAAGTTGCTTTGCGTTGTCTCTCATTCTTTTCAGAAGACTATCGATGTAATTTCGGTGCTCGATTTCGGCATAATAGTCAGTGAACGATTTCGGCAAGACGAGGAGCCCCAGACGGGATTCCACGTATGCCATGCAGCTGCGTTCCCAAAACGTTTGCAGCTCATCTTGTTTCTCACTGAATCTCAAGGATGGTTCGCCAGTCACTGCCCACAGATGAGTCTGTATAAATATCCACGAGAGCCCTATTATAAGCTTGTCGTTGCCGTTGGTTTTATGCAATTTGTCTATACTTTGAAATATCTTGACGTCCTCAGCGATGGCGATGTCGTCGTTCGTCCAGTTGAACTGTCTGTCATGCTTCCTAAGAATATTTAGCCAAAGGCCTGGCGGTAGCGACGACGTCTTCGTATCTAGGGCGCTAAGATTGAACCAGTCTTGCTGTGGGGCGTCGTGCAGAAACGCAAGCTTGGCGTTAAGTATGGCCTGCTCGAGGTTCAGGAGTTCCGACGCATTGATATTTCTTCTGGAAGCGTTCACTTCTAGGATGCCGTAGTGAGCGTCGACATAATCCTCGTATTTACCGTGCTGCGGTTTATTGTGTACTCTCTCTTCCCAACCCATGTCCAGCCGACCACGTGTGAACAACAGAGCGGTGGACTGACGCACGGCGACGGCTCCCATGTCGAAAAGAAAGTTCATCCGCCAGTTCAAGGCCATGTTCACCATGACGTCAAGTGGTTGTACTCCTCGGGGCTTGCTCTCGGGCCAGGTTAGGCTAAGGACTTTTCTTAGCTCGGCGAACCGTTCCAGGTTTTCATTTTTGTGCTTGCCGGCACTCATACAGCTGCCGAAGAACTGCGCGGCCTTGCTTGCCCGCTGAGCGTCGTTTTTCACTTCCTTGATTGCCATGTCGTACGCGTCGGTGATCATGCGAGCCTCCGTCGATGGTCGGAGCGTCGACTCTTTCCAGCCTCCACAAACGAATCCGTGGAAGTCGTGGCACGGATCTATAGCTGCGTTGATGGCCAAGCTCACTTTATGTCCGAAGGCAGCGCAGTCGGGGGTGCTGCAGAAAGCTATTGTCTTAGGAGGTGTTGTGTCCCGCGAAAAAAGGTAGTGAAGCAGTGGTATCAGTAGGCTTAGAAGCGGTGTCACGATGATGACGAGGGCAACGGTAACCACCCTGGAGAACTTCACCTGACTCCCTTCGGCAGCACAGGCTCCGGCATGTGATGCTCTGACGCTCTGCATTAAAACAGAGCAATGACTTCGTAATTCGATGTCTTTCATGAAAGGTAGCAATTAAATATTAGTGATTTATGATGCAATGGCGACCTTTTGCGTCAGCGTTACGTTTTTTAACAACTCAGTCAAGGTAAGCTCTACGGATTCCAACCTGAAGCGCAGCCAATAATTCATTACAGCAGAGAAGAGAGGGATGCTCGAAGCTTTTGTTACTTTTTAGCATTTGTTTAAATGCAAGTGCCTGTATTGTGATTGTGAACAAGCATGAAAGCAACATAATCGAAAGAAAGGCAGGAATTTTCAGGGGTTGGCTTGTGTGTTCGACACAAACAATTATAGTATGCAGAAAACTACAGCAGAAACGCACATATGACGTTATCTATTACCTTTCCTCATAGTGCAGTTATTATGACGTCAATTTAAACTTTTTCAATTTGTGAAAGAAATCATCATTTACGTCGGCTGGACCTGAGTACACAATCGTCCATTTCAGTCTGTCTGTTAAGAGTTCCTTTGAGAATCTGAAGTATTTCATGTACGGCAACGACAAAAGGTACCTACCAAAGGAAAGGACGAGTACTTCGTTTATGCATATTGCCGCGAACCATGCATTGGGTTTGTTTATTTGTGTTTTGTTTTTTCGGCCTGGCTGCGCCGGCCTGTGCTATCACTGTTTTCACAGCGTTTCGAACAAACGCTATCACCGCGTTTCGAACAAACGCTATCGAACAGCGCTTCGAGCGTTCCGAACGAACAGCGTTTCGAACAAACGCTATCACGGCGTTCTCGATACAATTCGACTATTCGAGAAACCCTCGCGCCGAGGGATATAAATTCCCGCACAGCCGATGCCGCGACATTCGATCGCTGACGCTCACTAGCGTGCCCGTCGTTTTGCCGGCCGCTGCTTCGCCGCCTGCGTATTCTTTCAGTTGTTATGGGAGCACAGGTTTACTAGCGTGCCCGTCGTTTTGCCGGCCGCTGCTTCGCCGCCTGCGTATTCTTCCAGTTGTTAGGGGAGCACAGGTTCGCTCCAATAAACTTGCTTTCCTTATAGACAACTGCGTCGTCCTTTGCTGCGTGACATCTGGTGGAGGTGCGGGGTACATGAACCCTCAGCCATTGCCAAGCCGACAAGCAACCCCAACACGACAAGCACGCCCAACTCGTGTCAGCCGCCGACAGCAAGGCCTTCAGCCAGAGTTTGGACTGCTCCCGGATAAAAAAAGGAAAGAAGACGTAAAAACCACGATGATCAACGCAGGCACCATGACCAGCGCTACCAACCCTCCCGTCGTTCTGCAACAACCTCGTGAGCCCCCATCATTCCGAGCATCTCCTGGTGAAGACCCGGAAGAGTGGCTGGAGAAGCTGGAGCGCATCCGCATCTTTAACAGGTGGGATGACGAAGAAACGTTTATTCATGTCTTTTTCTATTTGGAGGATGCAGCTCGAACGTGGTTTGAGAAACATGAAGGCTCCCTAACCGACTGGACTGTCTTAAGGAGCGAATTCCTCAAAACATTCGCTACGGTTGTGCGGAAAGAACGAGCCGCCCTTTTGTTGGAGACGCGAATGCAACACCCTAACGAAGGTGTTGTACTGTTCGCTGAGGAGATGAAGATGCTGTTCCGGAGAGCTGACCCCGAAATGGCAGAAGAGAAGAAGGTGCGCTTTCTGATACGGGGAGTTAAACAAGAGCTCTTCACTGGACTCATCCGCAACCCCCCTAAGACCGTCGCTGAGTTCGTCACCGAGGCTTCGATGATCGAGAGGACCTTGGATATGCGTTCGCGGCAATACGATAGATCACTCAACACCCTTTCGGTGAACCCGGTAAACGCCCCTGGATTGGCGACGGAAGACTTGCGGGAGACCATCCGAGCCGTCGTTCGCGAGAAACTGAGGAAATTGTTCCCAGCAACGCCACCGCCCCAAGTCGCCTCCCTCACTGACGTCGTCCGCGAGGAGGCTCAGCAAGCACTGGGGAATTCCACGCCATCGGAAGCATCTTGCGAACCACAAGCGATGACCTACTCCGTTGCTGCTCGTCGACCCCGACCCGTCCCAACCCGTTATCAAGAGGCCCCGCTGTACCGCCGCCCAATGTCGCCTGCCCGAATCCCTGTAAACCCGAAACCAGGCGCCCAGGAAGACCGAGGTGTGGCGAACGCCAGATAATCGTCCGCTGTGCTACCACTGCGGAGAGGCCGACCACGTCTACCGCCGCTGCCCGTACAAGAGGCTGGTTTGCGTGGGTTCTCCGTCGACGCACCCCCCCCGCGAGCCGGCCAGCGCCCATTTGAGATCGAAGAATACCTGTCGAACACTAGCCGTGGACCATCCAGTTTCAACCGTTCGCCGTCACCCTACCCGTACCAATCCCCCAACCGTCGCAGCAATGCTGACTTCGCCCGTGGAAGGTCCCCCAGCCCACGAGGGGGAAACTAAAAGCAGCAACTTCTGGAGGTGAAGTTGCACAACGGCGAGAAAATGAAAACCCTCCAACGACGCAAGACCGTGATTCACGACATGCCCTCATCCCGACGACCCGACGACACCCTGACGAGACCCCCGAAAACGACGACAGCTACGCTGCACGACGCGTACCCGAAATGACGAAGCCTGCCGCTGAGAAGACGACGATGACGACGCATAGTGCCCGACAATCAACACGCGCAAGCCGCGATACGACGCCCCGACGCACCCGAAATTCGAGGAAAGCGGCATCCGACGTCCAGTTGTCCATCGAAGGCCTTGACGTAGTCGCCCTCATCGACACGGGAGCCGACTACTCGGTCATGAGCGGGTCATTCACGTCCAAGCTAAAGAAAGTTACGACCAGATGGGACGGTCCACACATACGCACAGCAGGAGGCCACCTCGTGACCCCAAGTGGAATGTGCACATCGCGCGTCACCATTGACGACATACGTACCCTTCAGAGTTCGTCATTTTGCCTAACTGCTCCCGCGACGTAATTCTCGGAATGGACTTTTTGACGGACAATGGCGCAATAATTTATCTGCAGACCAGGTCGATAACGTTTTCTTCCGATCACTCCAAGACGCCGCAGCCGAACCTCGGACACAGTGCTGCTGTGAGGATCGCCGACGATCACGTCACCCTGCCACCCCGCGCAAGCTTGATGATCGCCGTCTATTGTGAAGGTGCTGCTCCTGACGTCGACGCTATTGTGGAGACTGACCAAAGGTTGCTTCTAGACCATGGTGTGTCTGTCGCAAGAGGCATTGCGCCGTTTAAGCAACGCAGATCTCACGTTTTGGTCACCGATTTCACCGAGGAGTACCAGCATCCAAACAAGGGCGCTGCAAATGCGTTCATCGAAGAATCGCAAGAAGCGAGTCAAGTGATCGCGGTCGCCACCTTTGAACGCGCACGCGCAGATGCTTCCAGGCTGCCACATCCTTTCGACGTGAACCCGGCGCTGTCGCAAGAAAATCGGGACAGATTACTGGAGTAGCTCCGTCGCTACAGCGAGTGTTTTTCCTCGAACTCGAAGTCACGTCAGACACCTTTGGCGAAGCACCGGATAATAACCGAAGATGAAGCCCGACCTACCAGACAGTCACCGTACCACGTTTCTTCACACGAGCGCGAAGCCGTCCGGACTCAAGTAGATGGCATGCTCAGCGACGACATAATACAGCCATCGAAAAGTTCATGGGCTGCGCCGGTTGTACTCGTGAAGAAAAAAGATGGCACTTTAAGATTCTGCGTTGACTACCGGAGACTAAACAAAATCGCCAAAAAGGACGTGTACCCCTGCCACGAATCGACGACCCCCTCGACCACCTCTGCCAAGCCAAGTACTTCTCATTCATGGATCTGAAGACCGGCTACTGGCAAATTGAAGTGGACGAGAGAGACCGAGAGAAGACTGCATTTATAACCCCGGACGGTCTATACGAGTTCAAGGTGATGCCGTTTGGGCTGTGCACGGCACCCGCAACGTTTCAGAGAGTCATGGACACTGTGCTAGCAGGCCTGAAGTGGCACACTTGCCTCGTATACCTCGACGACGTTGTCGTATTTGCCCGGACTTTCGACGAACACCTCACAAGGTTGGAATCTGTACTCGAGGCCATTCGTACATCGGGGTTAACGCTGAAGCCTGAGAAGTGCCGTTTTGCGTACGAGGAACTCAAGTTCTTGGGTCACGTTGTGAACGCCGCGGGAGTTCTACCTGACCCGGCAAAAACATTATCCATTGCGAACTTCCCAAGGCCGAAAGATAAGAAGGGTGTGCGAAGGTTTCTCGGACTGTGCGCATACTACCGGCGCTTCGTCGCAAACTTCGCACGCATTGCAGAGCCACGCACGCGCCTGACGAAAGAAAGCACCCCTTTCAGCTGGGAAAACGACCAAGAAAAGGCATTCTGCGAGCTGCAACAACGCCTGCAAAACCCACCCGTGCTCGCTCATTTCGACGAAAACGCCGAAACGGAAATGCACACGGACGCCAGTGATATCGGTTTGGGTGCCATTCTCGTCCAAAAGCAAAGCGGTTACGAAAAGGTAATCGCCTATGCAAGCCGTGGTCTGTCGAAGGAAGAGCGAAACTACTCTGCCTTCGAGAAGGAGTGCCTGGCTATCATATGGGCCGTTTCAAAATTTCGCCCATACGTCTATGGTAGACCGTTTAAGGTTGTGACAGACCATCATGCGCTGTGTTGGCTCGCCAATTCGAAAGACCCCTCTGGCCGTCTTGGGCGGTAAAGTTTGCGCCTGCAAGAGTTCAACGTTACAATATTCTACAAATCCGGCAGGAAACACTCCGACGCCGACTGCCTGTCCCGCGCCCCCGTCGACCCGCCCCCTCAGGACTCCGATGAAGACAGCGCGTTCTTCAAAGTCGTGACAGAGAGCGACCTAGCCGCCCAGCAGCGTGCCGACCCTGACCTCCGTGCCATGATCGACTACCTCGAAGGACGCAACGTCGCCGTGCCTAGGGTGTTCAAGCGCAACTTACCAGCATTCAGCCTCAAAACCTCCATCCTAGTGAAGAATTTCAACCCCGGAACGAGAGCGAATTATCTTCTTGTCATCCCCGCAGACCTTCGTGACGAAATTTTGGAAGCGTGCCACGACGACCCGTCTTCCGGACATCTCGGAACAGCTCGCACGATTACAAAAATCAAGGTGAAATACTTCTGGCCCCGCCTTACATCCGATGTCACCCACTACGTCCGGAGCTGCCGTGACGGCCAGCGACAAAAAACACCACCGACGAGACCCGCCGGACTTCTGCAGCCGATCGCCGTCCCAACGAGGCCCTTCCAACAGATCGGAATGGACCTTCTGGGCCCGTTCCCTACATCCCGATCCGCGAACAAATGGATTGTCGTAGCGACAGACTACATGACGCGCTACGCAGAGACCACCGCTCTTCCTAGGGGAACTGCACAAGAAGTTGCAAGGTTCTTTATTAACCAAATTGTGCTGCGACATGGAGCCTCTGAGGTCCTAATCACGGACCGCGGAACGACCTTCACTGCGAAGCTCATGCAAGGAATCTTACGCTACAGCAACACAGATCACCGAAGAACGACGGCGTACCACCCCCAAACGAACGGACAAACGGAACGGCTGAATAAGACAATCGCGGATATGCTGTCTATGTACGTCGACGTTGAACATAAGACGTGGGACGAAGTCCTCCCGTACGTCACGTTTGCGTACAACACGGCTATCCAAGAAACCACGCAGAAGACACCGTTCGAGCTCGTCTACGGAAGACGGCCGACTGCGATGCTCGACGCCACGCTTCCGCACGTAGAAGACGACGACCTCAACGCCGACGTCCAAAGATACCTCCAACGTGCGGAGGAGGCCCGCCAGCTCGCTCGAGTTCGTATAACGGACCAGCAACTGGTGGATGCAGGACGCTACAATCTCCGACGCCGAGACGCCGAGTACCATCCTGGAGATCGTGTGTGGGTTTGGACTCCCATTCGACGACGTGGACTCAGTGAGAAACTTCTACGACGCTATTTCGGACCCTACCAGATTCTGTGACGTGTTGGCGAACTAACGTACGAAGTGATTCCCGATGGTGACTTCCGTACATCACGACGACGCACGCGGCCAGAAGTCGTCCATGTGGTTCGCTTAAAACCTTTCTACGGACGATGACGAACTTTTATTTTAATTTGTTTGGACTGTCCTTTATGTTAGCATCGGGTCGATGCACTCTTAGAGGGGGGGTAATGCCGCGAACCATGCACTGGGTTTGTTTATTTGTGTTTTGTTTTTTCGAGCTGGCTGCGCCGGCCTGTGCTATCACTATTTTCACAGCGTTTCGAACAAACGCTATCACCGCGTTTCGAACAAACGCTATCGAACAGCGCTTCGAGCGTTCCGAACGAAAAGCGTTTCGAACAAACGCTATCATGGCGTTCTCGATACAATTCGACTATTCGAGAAACTCTCGCGCCGAGGGATATAAATTCCCGCACAGCCGATGCCATGACATTCTATTGCCGACGCTCACTAGCGTGCCCGTCATTTTGCCGGCCGCTGCTTCGCTGCCTGCGTATTTTTTCAGTTGTTAGGGGAGCACAGGTTCGCTCCAATAAACTTGTTTTCTTTATAGACAACTGCGTCGTCCTTTGCTGCGTGACAATATTTATGGGACAAGTGTTACAGTGCAATCAAAGACAACAATCAACTTGCATAGCTATATGCTATCTCCAATTGCGGTCATTTGAGAAAAATGTTCTCAAATTTCAGTACAGCATCGGGAGCAACACCCTCTGTGAAACAACATATTTTAAATACTTAGGAGTGACAATTACGAACAACTTAACTTGGCACCATCATATTGAATTAGTTTGTTCTGGGTCATTTAAAAAACTGTTATTTTCGAGCGAAGTTGCATAAAACACCGAAACACGTTAAGCTGCTTGCATACCAAACATATGTTAGACCTAGACTGGAGTATGCCTGCGTGGTTTGGAACCCTCACCAAGAACACTTAGTTATCATGTTGGAACGTATTCAGAGGCGTGCAGTACGGTTTGTGTGCTCTAGATATAGAAGGTGGGATTCAGTAACTGACATGGTCAATTCATGCACTTTATAACCACTGGAAATTCGAAGACAAAAACAAAAACTTCGAACGTTATATCGTATAATGCAAGAGATATTAAAATACCCAAAGACGAGTACATATGCCTTCTCGGAAAACGTAGCGCCAGATTAAATCATGATGCCCCCATCAAACCTTTCAACGCGCGCACTGACATCTTTCGGTGGTCATTTTTTCCGGATGCTATAGAACAATGAAATAGTTTACCCCATCATGTTGTTAACAGCACCGATGTGCAATCTTTGGACAGAGAAACTGATGCTTATTTTAGTCATGGTTGAATTGAACTACTGCCAATTTTGGTTTTTTGTGTGCATTGCTATTTGAGTGCCAGTTGTTTTGGTTTTTTGTTTGTACCTACTATTGTACTCCCTTCCTGTTATGACCCTCAAGCGAGGGTTGACAGTAATAATAAATAAATAAATAAATAAATAAATAAATAAATAAATTTCAGCTTAGACTTTCGCATATTCACCTGGCCTTTAATGGCGACCGTCTTCTTAAGCGACTGTTTCGTTTGCGGCTTGGGCTCCACAGGACCTAGAGAGCCAACAGGCTGCACAGGTTCCACAGGCATCCCTGAGTCGACAGGCTGCGCAGCGCCTGCAGGCGTCTGCGGTGCGGTGCCGGATAATTTCAGCGCAGCTTGCTGTTCCATGCCAAGAACCTGTGAAGTAAGGCATAATGTTTAATATTCTATTCAATACTACAGTCACAGTGCGCCTGAGCGGGTAACTTTATATTGTGAACGCCTAATACAAGAGGCTTCTAGCGCATCGGCTTCCGTAATGGCAAGGAGGAGATGCGTGGATTAGCAACAACCCATGTCACAATTCTAACGTATAATCGAGACGAAAGAAAAAGCTTATCCAGCTGTATTCAATTTCTGCTTTTTATATAGAAGATTAGGTCTGAGAGTCCAGAAATTACTACGATTACTACGCGTATAGATGCAGAGTTGAAGTTTCAACATCCGAACATTACAATTTCTGGGTGGTCTTGAAGGCGCAAATCAGATTGGTGCTAAATCACTTCAACGAAGTGTACAGTCAGATGCAAATGTTCAAGTCTGCGGCATTTGAGACTCAAAAGCAGACGCCCACTAGCGGCACCAATGGACACGCACTACGAGCTGACGTCACGAACTCGAGTGGTAGTCACTGAAACCGCCTTCGCATTGCATTGCATCATCGAGTGCATGAGTGGCACTACTACATTATTTACGGAGGTGCTTAGCTGCAGCACAATAGCCATCTGGGCAAGACCACTTCGCAGTTTTCAAACTTTTACTCGAGTGTCGGAAGACCAGCGGTATCTTTTCAAAGTATTGCGTTGAAAATATGAAGTGTGGCTGTTAAGTCACGTTGCATGTCCTGTATTAACATATATCTAGTCACGATCATTTAGCTAGCTACGTATCGCAACCACAGTTACAAGCTTGTAAGCACCTATGTGCAATGCAAAACGTAAGGAACTGCGTGGGCATGCGTTTCAAAGAAGCTCCCTGTCTCTTCGATTGAGCTCTTAAAATTTATTTATTGTACGCTGTGCGGGTTTATTGATTGCGGCCCATATCTTAACGTACTGCAAGCACTCTTGTCGTGTTTATACGTATGTATCTATTACGTCTGGGTGCTCTCGTGATCACCCCTTGAACTTCGCGTGAAGCAAAAGTAACATGGGAGGGTAAGATGGTTTGCCAATTGTGAGGCGTTTGTGAATACATGAATAAGGGGAAAATACCGTTGCGTACTTAATCAAACACTTTCCACCAGACAGTGCACATATCCACTGGCGGGTAAGTACCGCAGATGTTTCACACTTAGTATCTACCAAGAAACTGCGAGAGCGAACACAGGCAATTTTAACGCGTGAGCTTTAAAGGGCCAGTAGACAGACCTGAGGTTCAAAATTTTTTTCAAAAAGACGTATGTGCATTTTTTTTTTGCAAACACGGTGCCTTAAGAATTTTGCGAATACGTCCTATAATAAGGAAGTTGCAGGGGTTATGATTTTGGTCTAAGCTGGTTTCAAATTTTCACGCTGCCTCGCCCCCCTTCTCCCTTTCATGAATCGGAAGCCGTAGCCCATCGTCGTGACTGCATCCGATTCAGCAACGTGACACCACGTCAGCGATAGGCGTCATCGGTGAACTTTATCAGTCGCACTTCCGCTTCATTGACGCCACCAGCCGCGAGTCAACCGTGGAAGCATCAGGTGCGAAGTGTCGACCACAAACGATCAGGTCCACGACGTACGTCGCTGGATGGCCGATTCGCTTTAGCCATGCAGCGCGCAGGGCCTCATCGTAAGGCACCCGATGCCGATGCTTCTCTGCTGCCCAGTCGCTCGATTTGCAGCCGACGACAGAGCAACGCTTCTTTCCCGTGTTCATGTCAAGGGCGAAGCACGTTCGTACGTGCGCCCAGGCGCTGTAGTTGAACTGCGAGGACATGTCGAGACGCGCGCACCCACCTCCTAGCTGCCGGCTCACGGCTTGTCTTCTCCGTGAAAGACAAAGAAAGAAACGCCGTGGGTGAGGAGGCACCGCTAAGGGGAGGTTGAAGGGAGGAAAAGCAGGCGCTCATTGGTGGTTTGCTTGCGCAGAAGCCGGCGGCAGCGGCAAAAATAACCCAGCGAGCGATTCGCTTGGCGGCGGAAATTCCACGACGCTCACAGGATAAAGAGAGAAAAGCGGCGTCTCGCGAGCGGAGCGCGGCGCCGCCAGTGTGTTGGTTACGACTGAGTGTGGCACAGTGTTGTCGCGCGCCAGGAGAACATCAGGAATAGGCGTGACGACATAATCACCGTCAATAACGGATGAACTTGTTGCCAATTCAGTATGTACTGCAGAAAGTACTTCTTTGATACAGCAGTCACGTCGGGTTAACGTAAGTTGCAGTTAGGTGCCTTCAGCTGCAGTTGATTTATGTAGCAGTGTGCAGAGCTACCATCCTCGCAAGCACCAGCGCTTTACACCAGCTTATCACGTCTGGTGTGGCTAATACTCATGTTCCTGTTGACACCGTTGTACAAGTACAAACAACTGGTTATATTGTGGACATTTACTTTTTTGCCCAAATTACTGGGCCCGACGGTTCGCTTTGACTGGCCTCTCGACTGCAAATCAGCCTTCAACCATCTCAAAAGTCCTCTCGCATCTGAACCAGTACTTCGCCATTTTGATGACACTGCACCCACAGTCCTGCATGCTGATGCTAGTGGTCGTGGCGTCGGTGGTATTCTCCTGCAGCACGATGAGTCATCACGTGAAAAAGTCGTTGCGTATGCAAGCCGCGTCCTGACCAACGCCGAGAATTACATTTCTGAATAGAAGTGTTAAGCTTTCGTATAATCTGTGCAGAAGTTTCGACCTTATCTGCACGCCTGACATTTTACCATCGTTACACACCATCATGCCTTATGCCGGTTTTCCAAACTCAATATTTTATCAGAGTGCCTTGATCAATGGACTAAATGTCTTCAGGAACATGACTTACACTATTACCTACAAGAATGATAAGAACCACCAGGAAGCAGATGCACTTTCTCGCTGCCAAATTCCGAAGACGCCATCCACTGGGCCCGCAAACTTCAGCGATGGACGCTCGGATGCTTCTTTTTCATCTGCTACGTCCTCACCCGCGATTGACAAGATTTTTTGTGACGACCATAGCTCCATCCTTACGCACAAACTAACTGAAGCTTATTGAAGGCTTATCATAGATGATCTTCGGGTGAATTCGAGACCTCCTTACACCCGCCTTCTCTGATAGCTGAGGTAGTTCAAGCTCAACAACAGTGTTCTTTACAATCACATCTATCACCCGGACAGTCAACGCTGGTTGGCCGTTCTGCCTCGCACTCTTTGATTCAATATCCGTGAGCCCTACTACGACGACATGGCTGCTGCTCACGTCGATTTTAAAAAAATAAACGTACGAGCGAATTAGAGGGCATTTCTACAGACCTAGTGTGTCCACCCGCTTAGGAAAGTACGTCTCCTGCTGAAAATTTTGTCAGCGCCGAAAGCTTCCGATGTCACCTCAAAGCGGGAAGCTGCAACCAATTCCATGTCCATCGGCACTATTTCAGGTCATTGGCTTTGATCTGTATGGTCCTCTCCCTACGACTCCTAATCGCCATCAATAGATAGTGACAGCTGTCAACCACTTGACACGTTACGCTAAAATTTCCTGCGTGCCTCTGCTTCCTATGTAGCTAAAGTCATATTTCACTCCTTAATCTTGCGTCATGGTTCCCCTAATGTCATCCTCAGCTACTGTGGAAAAGCTTCCATTTTGCAAATTCCGAACGAATTGCTCAGAGCTTCCGGCACCGGCCACAAGACAACCTCCTGCTAACACCTCCAAACCAACGAGCTAATTGAGCGATTTTAACGCACGCTCTCCGACGTGATTACCATGTGCATTGAGCCATACCACCCAAACTGAGACGCAATTTTGTCGTTCATAACATTTCTGTATAATACCACCGTGCTACGAGATATTTACTACTCGCCATTCCACTTTGTCTATGGCCGATCGCCAACTTTCCTTCTAGAAGTCTCGCTCTCGACCACAGCTGTTATCCCATCAGCATCCTTCGGTGAACAATCTATGTCCCGCCTCCGTCACTGTCGCCAGCTCGGCGGACTGAACACTGAGGCAAGACAAGACCATAACAATCTGCATGACGAGTCATATACCATCGTGACCTTCTACCCCGGCTGTGGGGTGTTACTCCGTAGACATCAGTTCGCTCTCGTGGCTTGTATGACAAATTGCAGTTACGGTTCCTCAGTCCATACACAATATTAGAGTGGACCTATCGCGTTAATAATCTCATTGAACCTGTGATTGCTCGAACTGACCGGTGCTGTTGCGATACCGAGGTAGTGCATGTCTCACGTATGAAGCCTTCCTCAAGGCGTTCGCCGCATCAATAAGTTGTGGCAAGGATAGCCACTCCCATGCGCAAGAAGGGTGGGCATTTAAAAGGCGCTTCATCACCTGTGCATACCCATAACCACATAGTGTTCTTCGTCTTCATCCTTAGTGCTCATTGCACCTGAGCTTGTTATGTGCCTCGGAGGTGACTGCTTTGGCCTCGTCTTCCAGGCCTAACAATCGTGTGTAAAGGTCTACGTCGCAATGTAAACTCCTGCAACCATTCAACCTATGTCAGTACCTGCAACATAATTTTGCGTTATTGGGACATGCCACTGAATAAAAAATACTACACGTACGGTCCCCTTCCCTTCGCATGCTTCGCATAAAGTTGATTCACATAGTACGTTGGACCCACCAAAATTTTTTCAGCGCATTCTCGTTACGTTACAGCGAAAACTGTTATGAGACCACAGCAAGAGACAGCTATAGCACGGTAGTTTTCCATCGCCGCTGGTGTCCGTAACCACAATCGCGAGAAATAAAAACAAAAAATTCTAAATAACGATACAGAGGACTAACTGGCAATCAAACTAGGGCCCTCTGCAGTGGCAGCGCAGTACTGCACCACTGAGCGATGCTGCTGCTTCAGAATGCATTGCAAAGTGACCCTACGCAGGCGTCGTTTTGGGTAATAAATTGCATTAACCTGCATAATGAAGTGTTTTAGAATAGTAATGTAAATAATAGCCGTCACATGATGCGAATTGCGTAATGAGTGAGTTGTTTCATACTCAAGCCCATTGCGAAATCTTCGCGTATAACGTTCCTTGTCGTAAGCCACACAATCAACGAAGTTGTTACAATGTCTAAAGAACGCCATGATTGCGCTGAACGCGCTGCCTAGTCACAGCAAAAGCTGGAAGAGCGGCCTGTCAGAGCCTTTTGTAAACTATTTTTGGGTAACTGCTACAAACACACAACTGGGTACCCAATGCTTCATAAATATAATTTTTGTGCCGTAGACCAGCATTCACTGTGCTATCCTTCATCATTCTTTGGAGAAGCGTGGTATTCACTACACACTTGTTAGGAACTTCATGCAATTTTTTAATGCTTGGGCTGACGAAAATAAAGATTATGCCCGAAGTGGGTATGCGCCACAGTTAATATGTGATCGAGAGCAAGGTCTCTAATGGGTTGGAGCACTGACGACTCAGTCGTTACGCCACTCGCATTGTGCAGCATCTGGCTGTTCCTTTGATGTTCTAAAACGCTATTACTCATAATAACGCGATGTCTTTTCCGATATCACGCCCCCCTAAGGCCAGATTAGATGGGAGTCTTTGGCCCAGGTGTGACTCAGAGGTATAGTACTGGGCTGGCATGCTGTAGACACAGGTTCAATACCATTGTGTTATTGGTTTTTTTTCGTAGTTTTTTTTGTCTCGGTACCGGTCACAGACACCGGCAGTGGTGGCCTGCGCACCACTACGGCGCCACGCGTGACCCGTGTTCAGATCTCATAACAGCTTTCGCTGTAAAAGCGTGTGGCAAGTACCACGTCTTTCTGAAGAATGACGAATATGTTGTAGTGCATGCTTTCCCTTCACACAAAAATACAATAATTTAGAGCGTATAGTTACTACGCAAATGTGCTTGTAGTACATATTTCAAAACTTTTAAATAGCCAACATATTTGGGGACAACCTTTCTTGGCAATGAAGTTAAGGCTACGGACTCAAAGTGGGCGTGTGGCACTGCTAGAAATATAGCCCCACAATTGCGTCCGTGTTTTTTCGCCTAAAATAATAAAAACGTTATTTTTACTAAGATACTGTTCATGAACAAGCGATACACGCATCAAGGAGTTATTCATATTTTGTTTATTTTATAATGTGTCGTTTCGCGTTTGTCCACGTACGAAAACGTCGCAACTTTTATGTGCACCCTGTTGTCAAAATGGCTGATTGATGATGATATGTGGGGTTTATCGTCCCAAAACCACTATATGATTATGAGAGATGCCGTAGTGGAGGGCTCCGGAAATTTAGGCCACCTGGGATCTTTAACGTGCAACCAAATCTGAGCACATGGGCCTACAACATTTCCGCCTCCATCGGAAATGTAGCCGCCGCAGCCGGGATTCGAACCCGTGCCCTGCGGGTCAGCAGCCGAGTACCTTAGCCACTAGACCACCGCGGCGGGGCTGTCAAAATGGCGTATTCGTCACAAGGTGAGCCCACGTTTTCCTCAAGTAATTTCGTCTATTCGCTGATGTAGCATGATACGAATTGAACTCAAAAGTGGCTGTCTTAGCGGATGCTGCTTATTGTATTGAGTGTTATTTGAACATGGTGGTCATTTGAAGCGTGAGCATAACCAGGCTACTTTATAGAAGAGTTTGTGTGCAGTAGCTCCGCTCCTGTAGCTTTTCCTTCATTGCCAAGAGAAGTTATTCGCAAGTACAGTCAGAGAGACTGCTGCTCACTCAGTGCAGGCCTAGCGTTGTTTTAGTCTTTTTTTATGTTGGGGGGGGGGGGGGAAGAGTATTGAATTAGCATCCACTTGCACACAAGCAACCCGCCCTTCTACGCTTTCATTCTTTAGAGCGCTAAAACTACGTTATTCATCAAATTTACCTCACTTTTATCCCCTCACAACATTACTGTAGCTATCACAACAATTTTAGATAATCTTGGCGCCATTTACCTTTTCTCTGCATTTCATCACTTTTCAGGTAGATGTTAAAAGTTTTGCCTAACTATCGTTTGCTAGCGATAGTTCTAGCTGTGAAAAAAATGAACACGCGCAATGATGAATTAACGATGTTGTTCGGTCAGACAGTTATTTTCAAAATATACTTTGAAGTTTGAAGCTTATTGTTTCTTTCGTACTACAGATAGAGGAACCCAGTTTTCAGAAACCTGGTCTGTCGTAACTTTGTGGAACTACTATGTCTTTCTCCTATAAAAAACAGCTAGACATAACTGTTTGCCGCTCTTGCGTAGCAGTGGTTCAGGGGTATAATTGTATGCACGTATTTTACGTACGGTGCATTTTCCGCTCTACTACCTGCTGCTAGTCTCTTTGCGACAAAAACTCAGGCACGTAATGTGCAATTAACATCTTGCCGCTCATAATAGGGCTAATTATGCTTATGCGGAACATCGGTGTTCCCGCACTGTTAAATCAGCCCAATTGACTCACCGGACTCGGTTTTGCAACGGCTTCCGCTTCCACGGAAGCGGCTTTCTGCTTGCGTTTCTTCCTCTCAGCGGCGTCTGACTTGGCCGACGTGGACGACTTGGAAGACACCGAGGACTTCGTCGGCAAGGACTTCTTCGACAAGCCGGTTCCGCCACGCTTCTTCGACTCCTCCATACCTCTTTGATCCCTGTCTCCGAGTGCCTGCCGCCTGCGAGGAACGCGTGCTTGTGAAGAGTTGAGGGACAAAGCTAGAGAAAGCAAAATCGGCGCTGCGACAGGAAAACGCTTCTTCTTCTTCTGGTGCTCTGAAATGCACGTGGCTCGTGCCCAAGGTGGTTGGTAGACTGTTGGAGGAAAAATAACGTAAAATCGTATGTGCCCATTTACTTGGTAACATATTTATTGGTAGCCTAGTAGAGTTTTCACCGATCGGTCCTTAGGTCGGCCGCGTATGACTGACATATTAATACTTGCCATTTTCTTTCACCTTGACTTGTCGTCACTTTTTTCAGTAAACTTGCATGGTCGGATCACTCACTCAATAAGCATTTTCATTTAGAGGGGTTTTTAAAAGTAATTACCAAACTTCGTTTTAGTTTAACAGACCATTACTTTAATGATCCGACCGCCCAGTTCTTGGCCCATCCCCTAGGTGGGTGAGTGCCATCAATACGAAGTCACCATCACCATCATCAGAAATATTTCGGCTGCTGTGGAAAAATTCTGCGTGACTCAGACCTATTTAGTTTATGATGTTATGTCGTTATTTCTTAGATGAATGGCACTTAGTCAGACACAGGAATTCACCAAAAGTCGGATGAACAATGTGGTCTGAAAATCTTTCAACATTTGCGGGATATTTCGGCGTTAAGTACAAATGGTATTCATTCAAGACAACAAAATGAACCTGACTTTCTAAAAAATTACACAACAATACGCAATTACTTGTAAAACAAAAGCGAAATTCCAAACAAAAGGAAAAGAACAAATCACAGATGACAGGCAGCCATAAGCACTAGCCACTGTTAGCAATAGTCACCTAATAATGGAAATGAAACAACAGAAGTAGTAGATAATTTTCCATCCACAAGTTTTGGGCACAGACTTAGTCAGGTGAGCCATGTTGAAGGTGGTAAATAAAGAATCTCAAAAGTTTTTATCAGATTTTATCAACTACTCAATAAGAATGGTATAGTTCCTTTCGGTTTGGAATATAACTAAGGTGATAACACCGGTAAAAGTTCGAATAAAGGGTACGAACTGCAAAACATTAGGCCCTTTGCATTAACTTCAAGTTTCCTTAAATTTATTGCACGAGTGTTACGAATCCGTATCACAAAATTCATTCACGAGAAAGAAATCTAAATGCGTCTCAAATTGGCTTCAGATTATGGTGCTCGTTATGGCAGGCCCATTTATATCTTCAGAGTCGCAATAAATTACGTTGGCGTGAAACAAAGTAAGCCGCATTAATCATATTGGACATCGCGAAAGTGTATGGCAGCGTTGAGCGTGTTATTTTAGATAATCAGCTGCTCAATAGGAGCTTCCCAAAGTACATGCAGGCATAGATTGTGGCATGCTTGGGTAATAGAACGTTCTACTGTTTCCAAAGCGGCAATTCGTCCACCTACGCGCAAACAAGAGGTGCTCCACAAGGGGCAGTCTTTTCTCCAGTAGTTTATTTTAATATACTAACACCTTCTATACACGACATCAAGATGTTCACACATATGTTTATGCGGATGAGATCGCATTTTATTCTGCAGCCGACAATATTGAAAGTCCATAACAGATACTACATGGAATTGTGGCAGCTTGGGCTAGTTGGTATGGCATGACGATAGTTATAGCGCGAGAACAGAACGACGACACACAAACAAGAAGGACACGAAGCATATGAGCGCTCGTGTCCTTCGTGTCCTTCTTGTCCCTGTGTCGTCGTTCTATTCTTGCGCTATCGCTATCGTCAGATACTACAGTCACACTCATTAGCTGTAGAACGGTGGCTTGGGAAATGCACCTGCTTGAAGGTGTTAGAAAAGGCTACGTAATTCCGTTTCTTTTGAAAGACTCCATTAATATTTCGCTCTGTTATCATCTAAAAAATACTACGCAAGAAGAGCAGGTAAAGCACATTGGTGTGTTTTACGACTGCTCTATGTCTTAGAAGGCACACATTGAATACATAGAATCAAAGGGTGTTCGGCTGGTTGGCTTGCTACGCAATAGTAGTCATAGTCGCTTTGGTATACGAAGCAAAACGCATGTGTCAATATACTGCATGAACGTTGGGCTCGTCCTCGAATTGGGATGTACATTATAAGCTGGCATTCCTGCTCATAAGCTTTGCCCTCTTGCAATCCTTGATAAGCGAGCCTTGCGACTGCGTTTAGATATTTGTAAGTTCGTAGGCATTAAAGTCTTGTATCTGGAAGCTCGACTCCCTTTCGCGTTTCCTATCGTTGGCCGTACAGTCAATTTCAAAGCTTTACGAATCTCCAGTAACGTGTTAGGAAACATTTATGTCACAGCCCGAGTTGTTTTTGGAGTATACTGGCTGAGATTTGACACTCCTAAAATTCTACATATATTGAGCTTTTTGCATGAATTACGTGTCCATATTAGTGACGTATCATCAATCAGTGATAGCTACACCTCTATTAAAATACAGTTTGACAAATGTTTTCCACAACAAGCAAAACTAACGTCACACCACATTTTGAAATATATTCTAAGCGAGAACCTGGTTCATTTACCAATAAAGACAGTCATGCAACGAATGGCTCGAAAAATGAATAAAATTACGGGATTCGTATCTTCGCTCCTTCTCTTGATTAATCAATTTCTCTACGCTTTCAAGAGTTTGTACCCATTTTTTTTGCAGAATATCTTGCGTTCATTTCGAATTTTCGCGCATAAACAGCATCAACTAGTTTGGCTGCACTTTTAATTATTTTGTGGTCTGTGTGTTCGTTTCTCACTGCAAATGGAAATTGGGAAGTGCTGAGTGCTTTGAAATAAATAGTTCTACCGCATATACGTTTAGTTTTTTTAATTTAGGTACAAGTCATCAAAAACTTTGCATGTATAACGCGGTGCCAAAATCACAAAACCCGGTTGATTGGTGGATTATGAGAGAGACCTTTGCCCTACAGCGGGCGTAGTCAGACTGAATACGATAGTGATGACATAAGAGACTTTTTCTCCATAAAATTGTCGATGCGTTAACTGAATTATTTTTAAATGGCCTCGTTAAAACATTTGGCAGGTCCCACGTACCTTAGAATTCACGTTATGCGAAGCATGTGGAGGGAAGGTGGCCGTGTTGCAACTTTTTATTGAGCGACACGTCATGAAGTGATGCTATATATATGTACAAATGTTACACGCACAGACATATGTTGAAGAGCTGCAGATGCTTATATAACCAGTTGTTTGCACTTGCGCAACGATGCCAACTGGAACATGTGTATTAGCAACACCCGAAGCTGAAGTAAAGGCCTGATGCTCGCGAAGATGCTGGCCCTTAACACTGCTGCATGAATCAACTTCATCACATGGCAACGACGATTGACATTAACCTGAGATGATGGCTGTATCAAAGGAGTATATATGTAATGTTCATAAAATTGGGTAGGCAGCACTGCAACCACTATTGACGTTCCACAAAGATTAGCATCTATTTGAAAAGTAGTTCTGAGCCCTGGCGTAGCTCTATGATAAAATGTTTCATTTCCACGCAGAATGCTTGGGTTCAATTCTAGCTGAGATTCTGACATTTATTCTTTGCATTCTTCGGGTCGACGCTAAAGATGTCGGGTATTTCTTAACGCTCGCGCGTTGAAATTGCCTTTGTGTGTTGTCGTCGTTGCTGTAGACACTAAGTGTCAATCACATACCCGCATCGCAGCGGCATGTACCCACCCATGGATACGTTCCACTGCCTGGCAGGAAGTGTTTGACGACATGCGCGATGAGATTGTGACATTATTCATGTCTTGACTAGCACGCCATATTTGTCTAACCATCTCAGCTTCCGGAGCTAATTTTGGTTCAGGCCAATTTAAGGGGGTGACCACGGGAGCACCCAAACGAACGCGGCTAGATAGATAGATAACTAGATATGCTCAAAGTTGCCGAAGTTAGCTAAGAAACGCATTGTAATTAAAACATATTGCCAGTCTCTAAATTCATCATATAGGGGCTAGATATATCAGAAAAATCATGTTAGAAGAATTTCCTTTACCATCCATAATGAACACAGTGGTATTTGAACTCAAAAATGATCATTAAAACAGTAAGCTAAGTCGCACGCGTGTAGTTGAAGTCGCAATCGCTAAGTTGTGATGTCAAACTCGTTATGCTAATTTTACTAACACAGAGCTGTACTGGCTGCTTCTCCTAATTGTTGGTTTTGGTGAGTCAATAGACCATTATCCTATATCTTATAAAGGATACGCCACAGTGTGCAAAATTTATTCAGGTGCCGCCTTCCGTCTCATACGATCAGAATTAAACACTACAAATGTAATTTTCTTCGGGGCTTTGTCCCTAGTATTCAGTGACGGGAAAGTTGCCGATGCATTACAGAAGTGTAATAAATGTTCAAAAAGATTCAGGCTATAGAACCAATTCTTAATCCTCCATTGCTTGTTTTCAAATTGCATTATTTATTTATTTATTTATTTATTGTTGCTAGAATTGTCTTCTTCATTTTTTATGTCTGTTATTTCTATTTCTAGATTTCAAACATTTACTGTTTTTCTTGATTTCTCTCGATATTTTGAAGTGGTAAGCTAGCAAAATTAAAGTATCTCGGTACAAGTACCCGGTTCTTGGCCAATCTTCCAGCGTGGATGTGTCCCACATATTCCAAGCTCTTCTTTTTTTCTTCCTTTTTTCTCGCTCAATTCTTCGCTCGCAATTGTCTTCGCTCATGATAATTTATTCTTCTTGTTTCTCTTCTTAACTTAGAGTCCACAGATGATGTTTTACGAAACTTCAACTGAGTGATCTGACAAATGCATGGGGTACACAGTGCAATCACCTGCAATCCGAAAGTGAAACTTGAGCGTCCTAAAAAATTTAACACGTGAGCCTTTTACACGCAGGTGCACCAAAAATTGAAGGACGTGATTGTGTATCCGCTTTAAGGGGCCCTGCAACAATTTTTGAACGTGGTCAAAAAACGCCCTCGCTTGATTG